TTTGTCAAACCGTAAGGCATACCCGAGGAAGCCGAATGTGGAGTGCGAATTGAGGGACCGAGTTGTAAAGTGGTGTTAGTGACATAATCACGAAGCTTCACAGTATGGCTTTCGTACATGAAGACCTTTCCCCGTGGATGCAGGGACAAGTATGCTCCTCAGGAACCTCTAGTTCTGTCATCATAGAGTCGCTTTGTTCCGGTGGGAGAACGATCCGGGTGGGAGGCTCTTGTTCATGGCATTCAGCCGTGGCCCTCCCCGAACTCGGCTGTGGGCACATCTTCGTTGTGGGGTTAACGTCATCAGCCTCCACAACGTGTTCTCGCATTGTTCATTGCACCAAGTCCAGGCAATGCTTCCTCGACAATGCCAACATCAACAGTAGGCAATCCTACCTCCGAATGTCTACCGTGGGCAAGAGAGGCAAACGAGAATTCATGTTCTACAAACTTAACATCTCTCGAAGTCCGTAAGACTTCTCTTCCAGATCAAACAATTTCCAACCCTTTTTTCGATTGAATATCCAACAAATACATTCTTGCGACTTCTACTTGCAAATTTGTCACCTTTCCTATCTTGGTTATGTGCATAACACAAGCATCCAAATACCCGTAGATGGTCATAAGTGGGTGGCTTCCCATTCAATATTTCATATGGAGTTTTTCCATGGAGAACGGTTGAGGGTGTACGATTGATCAAGTATCCTCGCGGTCAAAATGCATTCTCCCCGAATTGAAGTGGAAGTTCTCCCCGAAATCGTAGAGCACGAGCTACATTTAGGATGTGTCGATGTTTTCGTTCGGCTCTCCCATTTTGCCGAGGTGTTCCAAGTGCATGAGGTTTGATGGAGTATCCCATGTTGCTGAAAATATCGTTGAAGACACATAAACTCAGCTCCATTGTCACTTCGTAATATTTTGACTTGTTTCTCGTATTGTCGTTCTATTAAGGCGATGAAATGCATTAAGGTTTGTGACACATCTTTCTTATTATTCAAGAGATATATCCACACAGCTCGAGAACAGCTCATCAACCAAAGTGAGAAAGTAAGATGCACCACAAGACGAGGGAGTTCTATATGGACCCCATACATCACAATGTATTAAATCAAATATATTGGATGCTTGAAAATCACTTAAAGGAAATGTGTTTCTGCATTGCTTTGATCTCTCACACACTTCACACACACGAGTTGTATCCGTATTTCTATTCACGCCGTTCGGATGCGGAATTTTTCTAACAATCTGGTAGGCAGGATGTCCCATTCGCTTGTGCCAAATCTCTAGTTGATTTTCTCGCATTGGTCCGATACGCCTTTATGCCACTCACACCACGATACCAATAGAGTCCCTCTTTTCGTTCACCCGCACCAATCAGCATCCTCGAAGTGTGGTCCCGCATTGCACAAAATCTATCAGCAAAATGTACCGTACATTTTACTTCATTCGTCAATTGTGATACTCGAAATCAAATTGCAATTCAATTTCGGAACATATAGAACATGTTTAAGTTTCAGTCCTCCATCAAGGAAAACCGATCCTTCTTTGTTTGCCAGCACCAATTCACCATTTGGTAGTCCCACCGGGCACCCTTCCAAGGCTCGACTCTCCCTCAAGTTTTCTAGTGTTCCTGCCATATGATTAGAGGCGCCACTATCAATAATCCACAAGTCACATGCTTTCTTACCAGTCATCTTTTCAGCTTCATTTCCCTTGCGAGAATTCAACATTGCTGCCAAGATCTCGCCATTGCTCATTACTCAGCCCCGCGACTTCGGTTTTTCGGTTGAACCAACGTTATCTGCACCAGGTGTGCGCCATATTGACGCGAGCCGTTCCTCCTTTTCCTCGGAAGGTTCCTGTTCTTTGTTGATTTTTTCCATCGCTTTTATCGGCTCGTGGTCTCTCTCCCCACCATTCTGGGTAACCAATGATCTTGAAGCAATTGCCTTTGTCATGTCCCTTCCTTCCACACCGCATGCAAACAACCGATTTTTCTTTCGCTTCATTGCGCAACTTGTTCCCGGTTTCCGCTCGCATAGCCATTCCCACGATCATTCCTCGCTCTTCTTTAGACCTGGTGATTGTTCTCACCCTTTCTTCTTGCACCATGGTGCCATACACCCGATTCAACGAGGGTAATGGATCTGTTGCCAAAACATTTGACCGTGCAGTTCCATAGCCCTCATCATCTAGCCCCATCAAGAACTCGATGAATTTTTTCTTCTTCTCTTCGTTTCTCAAGTTGCGTCATAATATTACACTTGCATCCCCCACATCTACACCGTGGGATTTGCTCGTAATTTGCCGCTTCATCCCACAACGTTTTCAACTTCCCATAATAGGAAACCATAGTCATTCCTTGTTGTTTGCATTCTCGCCAACTCGACTTTAGTCGCTGGATTCTTGGTCCGTTCACGATCGAGAATCGTTCCTTGATGTCATCCCATAGGTCCTTTGCGTTTTCCATGTATGCAACAAGTGGAACGCAAACTAGGTTCTATAGTGTTTAGTATCCAAGATACAAGCATCGATTGAATTGTCCACCAATCTTCTATCTCGGATGTGTCTTCTTTAGGTTCCTTATGAGTTCCATCTATGAAACCCCATTTCCTTCGAGCTCGCAGAGATATCTTCACGGCCCTTGCCCATTCCTCGTAATTCTCTCCTCGTAATTGTACCTGTGTAATCACATTTCCAGGATTATCACCGGCACTCGCATCGTATGGCGATGGTGTTTTCTTCACCGTCTCTCCTCTCTCTCGCCATTTTAGAAGTACGATCGTGTTCTCGGTCGTTGGATATCGGAGTTTGGTTCGCTTCCGATACCATGATAAAAATATTTCCAAAAACCCCTCTCTTGTATTGAATATGATAGCACAATATATACATGAAATACGTAAACATTCTAGGCTATAATTACGCTAACCATTATAGTCTGTATCCTAAATTTGTCTATTAACGGATATGACATTAATGTGCATCACTGTGCATCATTGTCATGCCAAGCTAAATATGGAAAAAATTAATCATGTAGAATCATGACATGATACTGGTATTTGTAATCGTATATTCTATGTTTATCATATATATATTATAAATTAAATTGATTATTGATTGGAGATTTTAAAATCTAATAATTAAGATTAATTATAATTTTAGATCAATAAATTATTAAAAAATAATTTATATATTAAATTATTATATCTTAAATAAAAATTAATTTTATTAATATAATTTAAATTTTAAAATTATATTTTTTAATTTTATTTATATATTTATTTTTAATTAATGAATTTAGTATAAATATGTTAATAATTAAATTTTTAATCACATCAAAATTGGTTATCACCAAAAATCTAATATAACATTTTAAAATATAACTTAAACGGAATCATCCTTGTTAAAGTTAGATAACACGAAAATGAACTATCAATCTTAGCAATTGTAAATTTGAAAGATAATTTGTTTAAATTGAAATATGTATGGTTGAATTTTTTTTTTAAATAATCACTTATTTTATAAAATGTAGGTTTGAAGGATAATTTGTTTAAATTAAAATATGTATGGTTGAAATATTTTTTTTTAAATAATCACTTATTTTAGAAATAAATAAGATTTGTTTATTAAAATAAATAGCTTAGACAATCATATAAAAAAAAGTAAAAATCTTTATTTTATTAAATAAACATTTTTTTAAAATAAGCAAAAATGAAAAGGTTCTTAATCTGTTTATTTTTTTCTACAAATTTAGATCTCTCGATTCTTGAAGACGTTGATGTGTTTTATATGGTTTTAAATATTTGATGTTATAGAATCTCTTTACAACGTACTTATGTTTCAAGACTAATTTTAATGACTACATGAAATTTAAGACTGAAGTTTTGATGACTCGTGTGTATAATCATGAAGAGAAACTTGTGATGTTTTATTGTTAGTCGTAATATGTTCTTTAAATTTTTATTTATGCTATAGACACTAGAATAATGAACAAAAATCTTGAATATTCATTTTGGGTACTGAAAAGATTAAAAAAAAAACAAAACAAAACACAAATTTCATTAGCATTTATTTATTTTTTAGGTTCAACATAGTTAAAACATAGACATGGATTTTTCTACAGCCATCTCACATAAAATATGCAAATATTTTGACTTCAAAATTAATGTCTCAACTCTGACTTGGTGAGGGCTCATACCAAAAAAATACAAAAAAGAAAATAAATCCATCTGTCACTCTTCGATTTGATTTTTTATTTGTCACTAGTCAGGTGGCTCCTATTATTAATCAAGTGAATTCAAGAAGAAAATTGAATTTAAATTGGATTTTCTTATTACTACGTTACATTTGGATTAATTTTTATTGTTAACAAAATAATTCGTCAATATAGACACAATCGTTTTTCACGTATGATATAATATGAAAAGAAGAACATGTTTGAATGGAAATGTTTAAGAGAATATTTTCAAATACAAACAAACATGGTAGGAATTTATGCTTTGCACATAAATTCATATTACTGTAACAGTCATCCTTAATCTTCGGGAGTGCGTTGGTTACTGCAGATTAAAATTACGTAAAGTTATTTTAGTTTGCCTAGAAATTTTGAGTTTGACTTCTGATTATCAAAAACGTGGTGCATGAGCTAACTATCTTCTGAGAAATCAGTAGCATTACTCCAAAATGTTAATGGGAAAATGCTTGGAAAGTGTGGTTTGCATCAGCCACCACAAGTGTCCAACGTACACCAAAATAGACAATTCAACCACGTAAACTTCTCTTGGCTTGTAATGATTGGCCTTACTAGCTACTAAGCATGCATCTCATGATTCATGACCCCCATAAGCAAATTTACTTCTCCTAGTCTCCTCACTCTACTATTTGATTTCCACTATAAATACCACACACCTAGCTTCTCAGTATGCATCAACACACACATACACACACACACACACTCTCACAAACATTAAGATAGGATTAGAGATTGAAGAAGTGAGAGAGATGGAGAACTTCCCTGTCATCAACTTGGAGAATATCAATGGTGAGGAGAGAAAGGTTATCCTAGAGAAAATTGAAGATGCTTGTGAAAACTGGGGGTTTTTTGAGGTACCCTACAAAAATATGTGTATTTGCATCTATAAGTTTTCTTCATGTTCATTTTTAGCTAAACTCATGACGTTGCTTTCCTGATTTGTAGTTGGTAAATCATGGAATACCTCTTGAACTTTTGGATACTGTGGAAAGGTTAACAAAAGAGCATTATAGGAAATGCCTGGAGCAAAGGTTCAAGGAGGCAGTGGCAAGCAAGGGGTTAGAGGGTATCCAAGGTGAAGTAAAGGACATGGACTGGGAGAGCACCTTCTTCTTGCGCCATCTCCCAGATTCCAACATCTCTGAAATTCCTGATCTTAGTGAAGAGTACAGGTAAGGCAAATTGAAAACTAAGATATGCATCCTGCATGCATATGGATATTTAGACTACATAAATAACAAAACCATTATGCATCTAAATGTGTGTTAGAATTGATAATGAGTTATGGATGCAGGAAGGCAATGAAAGAATTTGCACAGAAATTAGAGAAACTTGCGGAGGAGTTGCTAGACCTTCTGTGTGAAAATCTTGGATTACAAAAGGGGTACCTGAAGAAAGCCTTCTATGGATCAAAGGGTCCAAATTTTGGCACAAAAGTAGCAAACTACCCTCCGTGTCCGAAGCCAGAGCTGGTGAAGGGTCTTCGTGCTCATACAGATGCAGGTGGGATTATCCTTCTCTTGCAAGATGATAAGGTCAGTGGCCTGCAGCTTCTGAAAGATGGTCACTGGGTAGATGTGCCTCCAATGCGCCACTCCATTGTTGTTAACCTTGGGGACCAGCTTGAGGTACATTCTTTAACTTCTATAATATGTCTCTCAACAGTTTAATGCAATAGTCCTCAATTGTGGCTATGAATCTCATCCAACATTTTGGTGAAACAGGTAATCACCAATGGGAAATACAAGAGTGTAGAGCACCGTGTGATTGCTCGAACTGATGGGACGAGAATGTCCATAGCCTCATTCTACAACCCTGCCAGTGATGCTGTTATCTTTCCTGCACCAGCATTGTTGGAGAGAAAAGCAGAAGAGATAGAAAAAGTATACCCAAAATTTGTGTTTGAGGATTACATGAGGCTCTACGCTACACTGAAGTTCCAACCAAAGGAGCCAAGATTTGAAGCTATGAAAAGCGTTAACACATTTTAGTTTAGTTCCAACTCAAACAGCTTAATTGGAGTTGCTTTATACTATACTGCTAGAAGAAATTTTATTGATTTGGAAAAAATGGGGAAATAACCTGCGATTAAGCAAGAAATACTGGTTTTTTTAATTATTCAATTTCGTTGTTACAGTGGTGGATTGATTATTATTACTTGAGTGAATAAAATGCAACATTTTTCTTTCTATCTGTCTATCTTAACCTTGCTGGGTCCACTATACAGAATTTGTAAATAAGCTTAGATAACTCATTCCGATTGTAATAAATAAAGGAATTCTCAAAAGTTCATAAAAGTATATATGTTCCTTTATAATTACAAGATAAGCACAGTATATAAAAATACTAGAGTAGACAAGCCAACTTTATTATCTATATTGGTCCACCAACTTAATCCTCAGGATCAGATTACAACAGCATTTAATTCACCAAAAAAAAAAATATTGAAACAGTATCTAGGCTTTTATGAATGTTTCTATCAAAAGAATGAGTTGTAACAAAACTTGCCGGCTTTCATCTAAATTTTTACCAGACTATATTCTCTGGTGTTATTGACTCATAGACTCTGTCTGTAGCTTTCCTTGCCTGAATAAGAAACAAAATTTCAGAAAAAAATATTGGCACATCAGCAAAACCAGTATCACAAAAAAGAAAAGAAAAAAACAAAGGCAAAGTGCACCTCTTCCTCCCAATCAGTACGTAAGGTGATGATCAATAGGGATAATACTTGAACAAGAAGTTCACATATAATCCCCAGCCAGAGCCCCTACATAAGTATTTTAGCAGGTAAAATCAAATGATTTTAATTTTAGTGAAAATGACAAGAGGACAAAGCTGCTATGCCACAAAGTGTAGACTTCTCTTACCTTCCCTCCAATATACAATACAAAAGCAAATATGATGGCTGATGGAATCCCAACTAGATAATGAGCGCCTAGATTGATAAAGGCACAAATTTTCTGCCAACCGCATCCTCTAGCGGTGCCTGCATTGTATTTGCAAATTTAATTGAGCGCCAGCTGCAAGTTTTCTTCTTCAAGATTTCCTTTACTTTTTTTTCTCATCCACCGGTTAATTAAAAAAAATAAATTATCTGGGTCATGTTTTCTGTTGATTCTAACAAAAAGGAACCGTTCTATTACACTCCTTGATTTGTGCAAGGGTTTTTTGTTTTGATTATGGTTATAGCACCATTAGACAGAAATTTTAGGATTAGCTACTGTCAGCATCCATTGTATGGTGGTACAGTGACCAAATAAGGACAGGTCTGAACCTTATCCTGCATGCTTGGCAACCACATGTTACAATATTGTTTTCAACTTTTGTTTGCATCCGGTGCAACAACTGAGTCTCAGAAAAGGTAACAAAGGGGTAATATGCTACCAAGATTTGTCCATGAGTGTTTTGAAATTATGGCCTTGATGTAGACAAGAAAATAAAGGAAAGGAAAAGGATAAAAACCTGAAAGCACACACTGGATCCCATCCAGGAAATTGGATGCCGCAAGGAATGGCAACATCTTTGCTACATATTCTACCACTTCTAATTCATTACTATATGCATAGCCCCAAACATTTCGTATCAATATCATCACTGTTCCAACTAAGGTGCCCTCAATGATGGCCATTACTAAGACAACGTGCACAGCTAAACGTGCAGCCCAAGGATTACCAGCTCCAAGTTCATTTGACACACGAATGCTGCACATAATCAAGCAAGCATGACACTAACTATAGTCTATATCTACTCATAATCAAGAGAAAGACATTAACAGCCAAATTAGGAACAGAACAGAACATTAGACAGATATGTACCAAGTTAAAAAGTGAGATTGCCATAAAACTAGATAAGCGCTACATACCTTACAGCTTCACTGAAACCAGAAGGTATCATCCAAACAGTTGATGCTGTATTCAAGCTGAGAAGAAAATTAGGAAGGTGAACACGTAAAAAGAAATCAAAGCACTTGTGAAAAGTATCTCAAATAGGAAACTAACCAGATAGAAAGCACTGATGTTTCCAACTTTGGGTTTGGTAGAAGACCGGATAGAAGAACCATCATTTCAAATAACCACATTTCCAAGCTGTTCAGAATCATGGCAGACATAAATTGTAAACAACATTAGGATGCCTAAACAATGTATTTGAAAGTGAAATGTTGAGAAAAACAGCAGAAGAGTAAAGTTTTACAATCAAAAATAGGCAGAGCATTAGAGCATGGAATTACCAAACCATAACAGCCGAAGGAATGGCAAGCCTTAGAAAAGAGCAAATGTTATGCAGTGCTTCTCTTGAAAAGCCGGTCCAAGTTGTTGCACACGACGGAGAAAACTTGATATACAGTGTCAGTAACAAAACATTCACCCAATAAGATATAGAATTTGCTATTGCAGCTCCTCCACTTCCTAGTCCAGCTTTGTATACCATAACCCAACAAACAATAAGATGTAGTAACGTAGTAGCTGCAGAGCTGAATACCATTGGAAATACAATATTTTGGGTTTGTAAGAACCTGTTTAGGCACTGAATAAGACCAAAGGCAAAAAGGCTTGGAATCAATAGCTGAGCATATTTTCCAGCTTCTTCAGATATTTCAGGATCTTGGCCAAGGAAGATCAGAATGGATCTTGTGTTTGCCCAAATAATTGCTACAGGTACACTAACAATCATAAGCACAAGCATGGCTCTCTGCGTGTGAACGCCTAACATGCGATGCTGTTTTGCTCCATATGACTGGCCACATAAGGTATCCAAAGCACACGCCATTCCCAACTGTTCTAATAAAAAAACCAAGAATAGATTAGAGCACACTAGTGACTACACTATTCATTGCTTCATTGCATCCAAATCAACTAGGGCCAAGAAAATAAACTTTTAATGTAAATAATTTACTTTACAATTGGCAGTGATCGACAAATTTATCAGGAACTAGTTACATTGACTTCATATGGTATATTAATATGATCTGAAAATCTAAAACTGGGAAAGGCCCTTGAAGTAACATCCATTACCACAATCACAAAGCCAAAATCCATTTTTGTTTAAAGGGTATTTGGAGATATGAAGCTAAAAGTAGCAAAAGCGAAGAAGCTAAGGAAAAGACAACTCAACTCACCAATAAGCTAATGCCAGTGACAGTAGCAAATGAAGTAGCCATTGAAGCACCAGAGAGAGGCAACTCGCCAAGGTGACCAACAAACATTACAGATATAATCTGAATGCAGAAGTTTAGTAGACCCACAAATATCAAGGGCCCTGCCAGCCATAGCTGCTTCTTGACTTCTTCAAAAATTTCTCTTCTTTCTGCCACCCTTCCACCATTGTTTTTCTGTGTATCAATATCAACTTTGAGCGCATCTTGCTCTGAGATTTGAATCAAGGGAGATCCTATAGATGCGTGTTGACCTCCTCTATCCATGTCTGCACGCTCACAACACAGAAGCGTTTTTTTTTTCTTTCTTCAAACAGTGATACAATCACGAAACTTAAGCTCGTGCTCATTAAATTGATAACTCATCTTTTCTAAAAAATATCACTTTTCTCCAAAAGTTTATTTTCCTTGGATATTCTAAACTATTGGAAAACAACTTTTTTGTTAAAAATTAGTATTAACATAATCTTTTTAACACATTCCATAATTGATTGAAGTTTATTGAAAATCATTCGCTTCCTCCCAGATGAAGAATCAAGGAAAAAACATTCTTTACTTTCAGACCACTTTTATGTTTCTTTATAATGTAACTGGTTCTACATTAATTACTCATAATTATATAAACTGATATTGGTAGAAAAACTAGCGTTAAAAACATTGTTAAAGAGCATAATATAATAGAGTCTGTTCGAAATGGTCTCTTAGTAATTATTTATTCTTATATTAACGCAATTTTTAATATAAATTTCAGTGAAAAAAATTGTATTATAAAATTTGATTCAGAGTTGGTGGCAAAAGGTGATGAAGGTGAAAAAGACAAAATTCATGGAGTGATGGAGAAAAAACCAAAGGGTTTGGAAGTGATGACACATACATATTCAGTGTTATAGATGGAGGAGGGACCACAAAAGTAGAGAAATTGTGGTGAAAAAAAAATGAAGCAAAATTTGCTTCATTTTATGAAAATATGTAAGGGTTGTTTGATTTAGGAGATTTCAAAGAATTTTAATTTTAATTTTTAATTGTATTTTTTTCTTTATTTTTAATAAGAAACTTTATATTATATATTTATTTATTTATTTTCATTCATTAGAAATAATTTTTCATATTATTTAAATTATACATTTACTCTTTTAAAAGGTTTTAAGAATAAAATTTTTGAAAATATTTCATGAAATAAATCAATAGTATATTTACATTAAAGACAATATTTTTTAAAAAATAATTAAAGAAAGTATTATCTTTTTAGATAAATATAAAATATAAGAAAAAAAAAGAAAATGTCGGAAGAATGTGTCAAAATCTAAAGAGATGATGTTTTCATATGAGATGGGCTTTGAAAAGCCCATCTCGTAAGGATACTTTAAATTTACAAATAAAAAACAAGAGTACTAAAAAAAATGCACAGCTGAACACTTTTTTCTGAAAATGATGCAGAGAACATCGAACATGAACATGCATCGCACGCACAGTAATTTGAATGAGTTACACACACATTATCCATCCTAATCCCACAATTTGCTACCTAACGTTGACTTCAAGCACCAACATTACCCTTCTCCAAATTTTTAGGTCAAGGATTTGTTGATTGAGTGTTCCTGTTATTCTCATACATAGTAACCACTAAATGTTTTCAAATTTTATTTGCAGGAATGCGTGTTTCTGTCAGTGTGAGAGAAAGAGAAAGATCAACGTTATTTTATCAGTTATATATATATAATGGGGTCGTAGGGTTGTTGCATTTTTCAAGTCATTAAATCCATTGATAATTCTTACTTTTAGAACCACCTGCGTCTATGGTCGAATATTAAATAATTTTTTAAGATAGACACGTATTACTTGAGAAGTGATCAAACATATATTACAAAGGCTCCATATGTATTACTCTAGAATCATCATGCACCCCACCAAAAACTATAACCAAAAAAAAAAAAAATACTCATTTGTTAAAATGTCTTCCTCTGTGCTACCAAACGACTCCTTTGAATATGCTTTTCTTACTAGAATTGGATTGATTAAATTCAGCTTCTTGCCGACAATTATGTTCCTCTTGAGGTAATCTCTTGTCTCAGTTTCATCTTTGTTACATTAAAGGAGAATGTGTGACAGAAGTTGATACCAAGCAAATGTTTTTTTTGAGATGAGGGAGTATAAATCAACAAACCATCAAACGAAATTGGCCCATTTTACACTTTAATGCAATGACTTTAAGATACTAATCATATCATGGTTCAAACTGATTGCTAATTTGTCCTTTGTTTTTTGTTCATCAAGTTAACTAAGTTGCTATTTTGTGTTGGTTTGTCACTTGAGCCACATTTGTGTGACCTTGTAAGGTAATGAACTAATAATCTAGCGGTGATTCGAGCTGCAATAATTGATATCAACCTTTTAAGCAAGCTTTAGTTGGTTAATACTTTTCAAGGATGGGTTCCACAGTTGGCAGTTCATACTTCATACGTGAAAAAATATGATCTAACCAAATACCAATCATTTAAAAGGTTTCTTCGTCGTAACAGTCAACCAAAGTCCTTTTCATTCGCTATAAAATATTAGTTTTGGAGAATCCTCTTGATTCAAGATATTACAACAACTTCGTGGAGGGCAACATTGAATAGAAAATGCACCTCAACCTTCCTCCATTTGTCTCAAAATCTTGCTTAGCCGACTACTCAAACCATAGAGGATGTGTACAAATTTTTTATGGTGATCCACTAAAGAGGTGTTAATCAAAATGACTTGTATTTCTTAGATGGTATTGTAATCCTGACATAGAGAAGGGTTTTTGAGTGATAATAAAATGATTTACGACACAGTGCTGGCCAAAAGCTTTAGTCGTTATGAGCAGAAAAGGTTGGGATATGGAGCATTTGTGAGCTGCTTGTTCATAGTTTTCAGTCTTTGCACTGTGTTTAAGCCTTACTTGGGTCCTGTGCATGTGTGTGAGTGCTTAACTTCTTGCTTTATAACAACATTTATCTGTCTCTTTCTTCCATAATCCAAGACCAAGTACAAGCACACATTGTGCTTTGGCATTGGCATGAAATGCAGATATATACTCCACCATTTCGTACTATAAACGCTTTTATGTAGCCATTAAGTATGTCTTTAATTTGCTTTTTTTTCTACACAGTGAACCTGAAGCTCTTCATAGGTGTTGACAGCAAAATGCTGATCACCAGCAGCTCTTCACAAATAGCCGAAGGTAAGACTCTGGATCTCAACAAGGTTAACACAAATGCAACTCTATTGAGATACCTTAACTAGAAAACTAAATAAATGAGTCATTCCTTAAATGCTGATTATTCAGGGTGGAGGTAAATGTTTCTGACAAAATGTGATTATGTGATGATTCTTGGACCTGAAGTCAAAAACAATGTAGCCAGTTGAAGACACTGAGAGTTCTCACAAACGGATAAACATAAAGATAGAATTATTTGAGCTACACGTTTGAAACTAATGATTGTTAAAGAGCCTTTTTAATGTAAGTTACTATTCTTTATTTTGCAGTTGAAAGAAAAGAAAAAAAGAAAGAGGAAATACTCTGCACTTCAGAAGAAAGAACAGAATTTTGCCAAGCAAGGGGAGATATCAGAGTCCATGGAAAATCCTCCACTGTATACATTGCTTCATCTAAGACAAAAATGTTGGAAAAAAACATGTCACGGAGTTTAAAGCCTTATGCAAGGAGGGATGATGTAGATGCAATGATTCTTGTAAGAGAATGGTCGTTGAAGGCAGTGAATGTTAACCAGAAATTCCCCAAATGCACCCAAAATCACAGCATTCCAGCTGTATTGTTTTCTACTGGAGGGTATACTGGTAACCACTTCCATGAATTCACTGACATTGTTATTCCGTTGTTTTTGACTGCTAGACAATTCAATGGAGAAGTACAGTTTATCATAACCAATAATCGTCCTTGGTGGATTTCAAAGCACAAACCACTTCTTAAGAAGCTGTCCAACTACCAGATTATGGCAATTGATGAAGATGATGAAGTTCATTGCTTCTCAAGGGTGAACGTGGGTCTCAAACGGAACCATAAAGAGCTCAGCATTGACCCTCAAAAGTACTCATATTCTATGAAGGACTTCAGGGATTTCTTGAGAAGTTCCTATGCATTGAAGAGATTCAAAGCAACCAAAATAAAAATTGGCCAACAAGGGAAGCCAAAGCTCATGATTCTCTCAAGAAAAAGATCAAGATCCTTTACTAATGCTGATGAAATAGAAAAAATGGCCAAAAGTTTGGGTTTTGTTATCATTATAAGGGAAGCAGGGGAGAGCATGTGGGATTTTGCTCATGTGGTGAATTCTTGTGATGTGTTATTGGGAGTTCATGGTGCAGGTCTCACAAACATACTTTTCCTTCCGGAAAATGCAGTTTTCATTCAAGTTGTGCCTTATGGTGGATATGCATTGGACTGGCTTGCCACAAATGACTTTGGAAAACCCTCAAAGGGTATGAACATAAAGTACTTGGAATACAAAATAAGGTTGGAAGAAAGCACTCTTGTACAACAATACCCGCCAGATCACATATTTATAAAGGATCCCCCATTGATTGAGAAAATAGGATGGGAAAAATACAAGTCTGTGTATTTGGAAAAGCAAAATATAAAGCTTGATGTTGATAGGTTTCGGCCTACATTGCAGACAGCCCTTGAGCTATTGCATCAATAGTATGGTTTGTGTCAAGGTTAGGATTTGATCAGATTTTTCATGGAAGTATTTTTCTTTTTTACTGATTTATCCGTTTTTTCTTTCAACAAGTAGTTTACAGAATAAAGGACAAATAGGTCATCATCTGCGACGAAATTTCAGTATTGAAAGGAAGATGAAGTTTGATAATGGTTTAAGGCAATAATGGTCATTACAGAATGAAAACTGAAGCGTTCAAGGCACCGCTTTTGAGACATCATGTAATGATAAAAATCTTAGGCTATGTCCTGTGTTTGACTAAAGATTTATTCTAGGAAATAATGGTTTTTGTTTTTCCAAAGTTCTCTTGTAAAATTAATTATAATAATAAAATAAATTATTTAGTTTATTTGGTGGGATTGTTTTACTTTGAGATGTTTTCTTTCAACGCTTGACGATTAGCTCATTTTACTAGCAAGTGAAATAGTAAATCTGAAAATTGAGTCATCAAGTTGCTTATACTTGAGTGAAGTAACTAACACGAACTCAATTCAAACTTTATATGGGGGACATCATGCACCTGCTACTTCAAAAAGTGTAGTTGGTGAGATAGATTGATAAATTGGATTAGTTTTTACTGTCTTTTACCAGATACACTTTATGTGGAGTGAGTTTTTTAATAAACATTCAAAACCTACTCTTTCAAATACCTCGAGCTGCCAAGGCCGCCAAAGTTATACTGTCATCACTGTCCCAACCGTCTTCGCCTTCATAAAAATTATAAAGCTTTTTATGCAGAACAGGTTTTTGCCTTCAAGAAAAAAAAAAATGCTCAGACACTCCAATTAGGGTGTTTTCCTTGGAAGGTGTCTGTGTTAGATCTGCAAGCTTCCGAATTATTATTCTCCGGTATCAGACAATCAAGCTCAGAAGATAAGTAAAAATCATGGATATATTATAATAAACTAATGAGTCGACAAAAAAATTAAAGGATATTTGCAATCGTTTGTGATGAAATGTGGACGAAGTGCCATAAAATAGGTGGTTGTTTGAACATTTTGCATGGATAGGGTATGGAAAATGAATCCATTCAACGTCCATAGAAATTTGATGCCCTGTACGAGACAAAGATATGCATCATTTGGTGGCTAAGGGTTACTTTTAAATCTGTAATTTTTGATGACTGACTCTCTTAGTTGCGGTGCACGGGCTTCGTCTAATGAAGCTAGTAAAATTGAGATGGATTTTTATCCTACGGAGTTAGTAAACTAGTTGGAGGGTAATTTAATCCAATAATGAAAGGGGCAAATCAATTTTGATTTAGTAATTTTCATCTTCTGATTAGAAAATCATAGAACTAATTTAAATTGTATAATATGTAGATCCTAAAACCGTGTACAGCATAATAAGACTATGGCGATGGGATTTGCTTGAAGCAAAACCCGTCTTGATGTGTATCATAATATATAGAAAGGGATAATAAGAGACAATGGTGATCAAGAGAGAAAATGTAAAAAGAGGATATATGACTATGATTACTACAATTATCGTGTCTTCATAATAGGCCTTCCAGAGTAAAATTCATCTTAAACACAGTCCATATCAGCAAATTTGATTAACTTAAACAGGTTGCCTGAGAAACTACCACATCTATGAATAAAATACACTAGACACATCTCTTCCATTAAATGCCGGGTCTTAAATATGGAAAATAGTTGTCCCCCAATGAATTGTTGCAAGTGAATCCTCTAGGTAAGTATCTACCGCAATAGCAAAAGAATGCATCAGCATATGGATACAACTTTTTGCTGCTTAAATGCATGTATAGAGAAGCTGCTCAGCCAGCCATTGTTGGAAATGCTAATTGTGCCCCAATTCTTGATAGACTGGATGCAATCACCCTTCCAAAAACACGGGCTCTGATCTATACCTGTCAAATTAAGGTTCTCTCAATGGCTCTGTACACTCGCTACTGCAATTATGGCTGAAGATCCTTGAATCAATTGTACCATAGCCTTCAACTGGACAAGTTATTCCTCAGTATATAACCCTATTAACAAATCCATCCAAGGTAGTCTTCTGAGGGCAGCTCAACTCCATTTAGCGCTACTCAACGATTTCTTCCTACTTTTCTTGTTGCTCTTCTTCAAAAGCACTGAAGCATGGTTAATATCATCGGATGAATGGCTATCCCCTTTTAACCATAGAAGAGCCTCAGCAGCAGCAGATTTTTCTGCTAACTTTTTGCTGCTGCATGGCTGACCAGCAAAATTCAACCCATTAAATATGACAGTAGAACGGAATTGTAAGTTCTTCAGCTGCTTTGTTTTGTAAGTTGGTGATTCATGTCCAGCCCTGTTGAGAAATGTTTGAAGTTGATTTTTAGAATTTTCACCCTCGACTCCACTTTTGGAGTTTGGTTCCTTCTTTACTTGTGGTAGGACCTGGCGACCAAAGACAAATCTACCCTCACAATGGTCCTCAGAAACCAACAATCTAACAGCTGAAAGAAGCTCACTATGCGATTGTGTTTCCCGCGTGGTATCCAGAAGCTGGCAACACATGCAAACCATAAAGTAAATATTCAAGGACTTCGAGAGAAACCAAAAATTAATTCGCAGAAGAAAATCACTGATTGAACCTACCTTTTTCTGTATCAGTTCTTCTAGTTCCATCTTTAAGCTTAAGTAAGTCTTGGCTAATTCTGGTTTCATGAAAAACTCCAAATACCCTCCCAACATTTTAAGGTGACCATCCTGTCAAACGAATTACATGCCAAAGCACAATAAGTTGTAAAAAAGGAAACAATAGTATATACAACCATGAAGAACAGATCTGGGAGGAAGGTAAAGAGAAAATAGAAGGAACTTACTAGTCCACCTCTGGATACATTCCCACCAAATAGCAGAAGCACAGAATCAGATATACCAGTTGAATCCCTAAGGAATACTGAATTCACTTTCACCTTTTCATTAAACACTAACCACGGGTATGGAATTCGGGGTACACAGCCATTTACAGAGCTCTACAAGATTGAACACCAAAATTTTAAACTTCAATGGATTATATATTACGCCAATTAAAACTGGGTCAAAATACAAGAATTGACAAGAAGTCAGATAATTTTAGAGAAGCTTACAGAATACAAAAGAACCTGACCATCCTCCATTGTTTTCAGTGCTATTGACTTATCTTTGTTCTGCAAAACAAAAATTTGTTCAACCTCACATAAAAAAGTACACAATGAAACCAGAACATCATTATAATTAAAACATGACAATATTCCCTATATAATTTGATGAGATTAACATTTTCATACTACTACACTCATATCAATATAATACTATAAATATATATAAGAGAACAGAATCCCATGAAAAAGCTTGGAGCTAAAAATAATCTATCCAGGTTATTACCAACACTTCTACAGTAAAGTTACAAATACAAAGAATTTTGAGGAAATGAAGCATCAAAAGGATGGCATGTGGCAGTAGTGTGGAAAGATTAATTTTCAATGTTGGTAGTCCTAATTTTAATATCCCAGGAAGTTGTTGGCAACACTTTCACAGAAAAGTTACCAAAAAACGATTTACGAATGGAATTAAAGCATCAAGAGTATAGTAACTGTTGAAATTATTAACCTATGAGTTGTATCTATCTCTGCACCTCGGTTTCTAAATTAGCTTTTTTTCCTTGACTTTCCATCTACTCATTATATCTATTCTTTATCACTATAAATAAAGGGATCATATAAGGGGTGTGATTAAACCCTCAAAAGGATATCTTTTTTTTCCTTTTCTTACTCTTAAGTTGGTATCTGAGCGGGTAAATCCCGCTCTGCTAGTCTAGAGTTTCCTCTAATGAAAAATCCATTGTTTTCATCCTCTCCAGCCATCGTGTGTACGTCAGCCACCATCCAATTTTCTCCGATGATTCATCTCCTCGAGCGACGGCCACCCCTGTCGGCCGTCGGTCCCATACGGAGATTCTACGCCACACACCTATGTGTGCAACTTCTCTTCGTGCATGTGGCCCACATGTCGTTCCCCTTCATCGGAGCCTCTGTGTGCACTGTTGGTGGGTGTCGCCGGACTTCCCTGGTCCTCGTCCGACCTTGGGTTCTGTGTTCCAACAAGGTTGAAGGTCTCCATGCATGTCTTACCTTCGTTGGAACTATGTCAACTATACCCTTGGGTCGTACCCCCATTTGAAGATCTTCTTAGCTTAGGAGTGTCCAGCAAAATGTCCTCTAGACCCCTTTGTGTCCTTCGAAACTCCTTCCATTACATCTAAAAAATTGACTAAGAAAAATTATCTCTCTTGGTTTGCTTCAATTCAAATGTGGTTTTATGGCCAAGGTGTTCATGATCACCTTAAAAAAGATGAGAGTTCTATACCACTTGATAAAGCTGAAAAATGGAAGCAAATTGAAGCTTTGTTCCTTGCTATGGCAGTAAGTAAAACCAAAATTACTAGGTACTCTTTGAACATTTAAAACATGCAACTTTTTTTGGAAAAAGGCTCAAATATTACAAATGATATCTAGCGCCTCTACGATTCAGTCAACCCAGCTTGCTTCTCTTAAATAGTCAGATCATGACATGAAGTCCTTCATAAGTGGAGCCCAATTTGAGGTTGAAGAACTAAAGATGTTCCTAGAATGATTCATTAAAAGAGACAAAAAAGAAATTGGATATGTTCTATATGGTAATGATTCTTCATGCCATACATCTTGACTTTGAACATGTCAAAGATAAACTGTTAACTGGACAAAAGGTCCCCTCTATGGATAATTTGACAACCAGGCTTCTTTGAGTTCCCCCAATTCAAAATAGGAACGTCCAATAACTTGTGGAATCCTCTTTCATGATTTCCGCTCGTGGAAGAGGAGGATGTAATGCAAAAGAAGGAAGGGACGGTCGGGGACGCCCTTAATGTGCATATTATAAGATGAGTCATGTACAAGAGAAATGTTTTACATTGCATGATTTTCCCAACAAGACAGTCAATATCTCGAAGGCTGAAACTGTTGAGCCCAAGTTCTCTGATGAAGAGTATCAAGAATATCTGAGGTTGAAATACAATAACTTAGCAAGATCATCAAGTTTCAGTCTATCAACAGTTTGCATTTCATAATATGTAGAAAGTCAAAATCCATGGATAATAAACTTAGGTGCTTCTTATCTCATTTCTGGTTCTAAAGCTCCTTCCAAAGGAGTGGGTCAAGTTTCCCTTTCACCTTCTTTAAATTTAAAATTTGTTTTGCTCGTATCTTCTTGTCCTTTCAATCTTATTTCATTAAGTCAATTAACCAAGTATTTAAATTTTCCAATAACTTTTGATGTATTCTTTTGTTATACAGGAACTTGGTATGAAGCGACTAATTGAAGAAAGACATGAATCTAGAAGTTTATATTATTTTGGAGCTAGCCCACCTATGTTTTGTTTTGCATCACAAAACCCAAATTATTACATGATCGTTTGAATACCAGCTTGTTGAAACTAAAAAAATTTGTCCTTAAATTGAGTAATTAAACCCAAAATTTGTCAAAATTGTTGCTTATCTTTACATTTTTCTTGAATGAAATAAAAACTCAATTTAGTTAAGTAATTAAACTCTTAATAAGTGACAATGCCAAAGAGTATTTCTCTTCTCATTTCTCTGTAGTTCTAAATTCATATGACATTCTATACCAGTTCTCCTGTCCTCACACCCCTCAGCAAAATGATATTGTTGAAAGAAAAAATAGACACTTGATTCAAACTTTTCGTACCCTATTACTTAGTGTCAATTTACTAGCCCATCATTAGGATGATGTTGTTCCAACTTTTTGTTTTCTTATTAATAGAATGTCATCATTTTCTCTCAATAATATGATTCCTTATTTCACATCTCTCTTCGTATGTTCGGTTGTATATGTTTTGATCATGGTTAATAGATAAACTTTCTGCCCAAGCTATCAAATGTGTCTTCTTAGGCTACTTTCGACTTCAAAAAGGATATCGGGGTTACTTTCCTGAAACAAAGAAATACTACATGTCTGTCAATGTCACTTTCTTTGAATAGACTCCTTTCTTCCCTTTGTCTATTCAAGATGTTACTTCCATCTTGGAGATACTACCTATTCCATTAGTTAAGTCAATTGTTCCTCGTGCCTCAGATGATCCCGATCTTGTCACCATTCCCTTAAACCGGCACCACTTCTGCTCCTTACTTACCAATGTCGAAACCAAATGACTCGTGCGACACTCCAAAGTGAGACCTCTTCTTCCATTCCTTCTCCATTATCTCCTCATACCACGGCTCCTCTACTTGATGATTCAACCTTATCCATTGTCATCAAAAATAGTATTTGTTCTACCCGTAATTCTCATCGTATTTATAATTTTCTTAGTTATTGCAGGTTGTCTCCTTATTGTTCTTTTCTATCATTGGTGTCTTCCTATATTATTTCCAAAAATGTAAATGAAGCACTCGATCACCCTGGATGGCACCAAGTTATGATTATCGAAATCCAAGCTCTTGATCGGAATCACACATGGGATTTGGTACCCTTTCCACCTGAGAAGAAAACTGAGATATCGTTGAATTTATGTTATTAAAGTTGGCTAAAATGGTGAAATCAATCGTCTTAAAGCACGCTTAGTTGCTAAATGATATACTCAAATTTATGTCCTTAATTATAGCGATACTTTTTTCCTAGTGGCTAAAATGACTACTATTTGTTTATTTTTGGTCATGACATTTATTCATCATTGGTCACTTTATCGGTTGGATATCAAAAATGTTTTCTTCGTGGCGATCTTGAAAAGAAGATCTATATGAAACAACCGCTTGAATTTGTTGCTCAAGGGGACTCGGACCTGGTTTGTTAGCTACGTCGCTCCCTATATGATCTTAAACAATCTCCTTGAGCTTGATTTGGGAAATTTGGCCACAATGTCTAAGCTTTTGGCCTGAGACGAAGTGAAACAGATTATTTAATCT